TCTTCTGTCAAAGTCGTCATTGCCCTCCACGTTGCTTTACAAACCTAAACTCCAAGTCATCCACCTACGAATTGGGCTTAGTACCTTCTGCACCTCACAATTCACAAGCGTAATTACATTAAGTAATAACCAATATTTATTATCTTACTCGCTTTACCAAGCTATCCAGTTCTCCATTTACAAAAACTCACTCAGTGTTTCAAGAGATCAAATTAGTTTTTTATCTTGAAACTCGATATTTTTTCTACTTGCACACATTAAAAAGCTCTCCTGTTTCAGAACTTACCAAACGTCAAGGAACTGCGGAAAACCCAGTTGTAATCATCAACTCCCTCAACATTGTGCCATGGACATAAATGCGTGCCCAGGCCATGTTCAAAGTCACAGACATTCGCTGTAAGTAAATAGGATAGGAATCAAGCAAAGCAAGTTATACTTAAATACAACATTGAAAAAAGGGTTTTTGTTTCATTCTAATACGTAAGATTGCTTTTCACTGGCTATGTAAGCCAAAATTAGTGTATAGAAATTAGTTTAAAGAAATTTTTATATTTTCTTGCATAAATACGTCGCATGAAATTTGTTGGACAAAGGAGCTGGTTTAGAAAGAGAAAAGAAACTTTATTTAAAAAGTACAAAATATAAAAGCTTTGTTTGCAAAAGCTATTCTTACCTTCGATCAAATAAATACATCGACTTTTTTATGTTATCATAAAATACATACAATTTTCGCTGATATTATCAAAAAAAACTTTCAATGTGTATTGTGTAGAAAATTACATTGATCAATAAGACATGTATACTACAAGACCAAGCATATATTAATAGTCGTAATACTAACTAGCTGACAGCGTCATGCAGCATATGCGGCGCTAGTCAAAGTAAAGATAACATGCATCGATTATATGTGGATTACTAGATTTTTAAGAACTCGTGAAAATATATTTTCCGTGCAGACATCCCTTCCGGTAAATAACATATATTTTATGAGTCAACTTAAAAATTAATTTGATTACACTTATTACAAAACATTGTAAAACTTGTCTAAATTGCGCAACTCTTCACTTTAACGCTCTGCTCTACATGATTTTGTGTATAACAATTTACACAAAAATGAGCAAATTGTTTACTCAAAGAAATTCGTATATTTTCAATTCAAAAAAGTAAGTTAAGATTTTACCGTACTTTTAAGTTGACAGAACTCAAAATTTTAGTTAAATGAGATGATTTACGCAATTAATTGCGTAAATTTACACAAAATTTTACGCAGTTCATTTAACATTATGTTTCACGTAAGGTTTAAATAAGGGGTCTCCAAACTTTACAACCAGAGGGCCACATGACTTTCATCCAGCATGTTGAGGGCCGACGAATCGTATACCGCTGGTCAAAGAGCGAATATTTTAATAAAACGAAGTACATAACACAAGCTTCATTAAATGAGATATGATCTTTGCACTTAGCTGGACAATTTAAGCAATCGTCTCAGGACCTAAAAAAATCAGGTGACTCAACGGAAAACATCAGCGCAACAATATTGACCTGCTCACCACTGTGTGACTTCATAGCTCAGTGGTCAGAGCACTGCACCGGCACCGCAGAGGTCATGGGTTCGAATCCCGTTGAGTCAACTGATTTTTTCAGGTCCTGAGACGATTGCTTAAATTGTCCAGCTAAGTGCGAAGATCATATCTCATTTAATTTCAAACACCGCACTGCATTAAACATTCATATGACAAGCTTCATTAGTTAAGAAAACATTTATTCAAAATTTAAAGTTTAAATTTCAACAAAGTGTAATATCATAACAAAATCACAATTAGTCTGTTCAGTTTTCTCAATGTGAGTGGTGAAATTTGCTTTCTTAAGTGTCTCTGCGGGCCGGATTGAGAGGCCCAACGGGCGCATCTGGCCCGCGGGCCGTAGTTTGGAGACCCTGGTTTAAATGATAAAATCATCAAACTTATAAATACACAAATTATTTTACGTTTTAATCAATCAGCAATTCTTGTTTGTAATTTACGTTTGCTGAAAGTTCAGCAAAAAACTCGAAATTGTGTAAAAATTTCCAGTCTCAGAAGTCGTCGACACACAAAATCTTTAATGTTCACTAAATTTATCAAGAATTTCACTAAACAACTTAATGACAAAAATTTCTTCCAGCAAGAGTGAAGATCGTTCTATATACTTAATATATTTGTAAAACCCACGGTAACTTTACTATTAAAAATATGTCGAATTGTAGATTATGAATGTTAAAATTGCTTTTTAAATGTTATGTGGACTGTCTTGGTAACTTTTTCAAGTATTTTGAAAAAAGATTATATATAAGTCTACTTTATATACTTTTTAACCTAAATACAAATTTTACTATATGCAATTTAAATGCGATATTTGGGGTATATTCTGAACTAGCAATTTGTTAAAATATTTCGTAAGCGTGTTATATATAAATAACAACGAAACAAATCAACGCTAATATTTATGATGTTCAATGATTGAAAAATCATATGTAAATAGTTTCAAACTACTGCTCCATAAAATTGTTAAAGAAAATCAACAACATGCACTGTCTTTATTTCTATCGTACCAGAATGCAGCGTTGAAAGACGTGCTAGAAATATGGATTTTACTTTATAGGCATATGAAATATCAGTGCATTATCAACTCTAGCCATGCAAACAAGGTATATCTACAAATTTTACGGATTATTCCTATATTATTAATAGAAAAACAAAGAAATAGCTAAATTATATACAACAAATCGTACCTCTTCCAGGATCACCTAAATATGAACTATCAAAATATCTATGTAACATTCTTTATTCTCTAGTCAAAAGTTCGCCTCACACCATCAAAAACGCCACCACCTTCCTCGTCAACATTTACACCGTTAAACTACAACCAGACACAGACACAGTTATGATATCTTATGACGTGACATTACTCTTCATATCCATACTAGTAGACACAGCCAAAGTATTAAAAATGAACTATTTACAAACGACAAATCTTGGCAAGCCACGACACAACTTGACAAAAATGACATCTTAGACTTACTCAGTCTTTGCCTCTTCACTGAATTCTCCTTACAGAACTCATACCATAGACAAATTTCAGGCACACAAATTGTGTCACCACTATCCACCTTCACCGCAGAAATTATAATGCAACAACTCGAATTACAATCAGTCACCAACAACACAGACATCAGACTGAGGAAAAGATGTGTCGACGACATCTTTGCCATTGTCAAGAAAGACAAAACTGAACAAATCCTACAAACCTTAAACAATACAATAATAAACATAACCTTTACTAAAGATGAAGACATGAAAACAACTTACTTTTCTCTGTATCCTACTGACTAGAACAGCACACTAAACACACATATTGTGCCGCAAAACGACCCCCACAGACCAAATATTTGATTTCAACATCAATCACCCAACACAACACAAAATATGCTGCATACGAACACCTTTTCATCAGAATCAACACTTATTGTAACACCGAAAAGGCTAAGAAAACAGAACGCAATTACTTATACTCCACATTTATAAAAACAATTACAATAGAAAATTTATAAACAAAATTATAAACAAAACACAAAACAAAACCCAAACCAACAAAAGTAACGAATAACCCGATGAAACAGTAAAAACAATCACATCCATGCATACATAAACGGAACATCAAAAAAGACTGCATGACTTCTTCGACCATTCAATATAAACGTCGCAAACAAACCAACACAAAGACAAATCATATTTTGCCAAACATAAAGACAAAACAACAACAATTCATGATACAACGGACGCAATCTACATGATGCCATTTAAAGATTGCTCAAAACAATACATATAGGACAAAAATCGAAGAAAATCGAAACAAGACTCACAGAACACAAAACGCCATAAAACGACGAGATCCAAACTCATTAACGACAGAACACACGTTTGCAAATAACGACGCATAGGATTGGACAGAAATTAAAGTACTCGGACGCGCACAGACAAAACACGCACGCAAATTTAAAGACGCTTGGTACAGTAAAGACAACGACACAATGAACAAACATATTGACATACCTATCGTATATATTCACAGCTAAAGAAAAACGACAAAAAATCTACTAACGACACTCAAACCACAGCAACTCACGGTAATAATATATATTATCACAATCCTATTCACAATACACCCAAACCCACAACAACATATTTCACGTCATTCAATCACCTAAATCCACCATTAATAAAATAACTTATCCGGATAAACTTTTATCTTTCTAAAGTACATATATATAAGTTTAAAGAATGGTAATCCAGACATGCTTTATTGTAGTGCATGCCGTTATGTAATCTAGTACCTAATAACCAATTGCATATACAGTAAATAATAAATTATCTGTCAGTTTCCTGAAGATCGCCCTATGGCGTGAAACACCAAGTAGTGACAGCAAAAACTTATCAATATATTAACTATACAATACATTGATTTTTTAATACTGAATTGTAAGTAGCAATGCTGAAAATTACCATATATACATTGTTGTTCAATTATACATGGTTTCAGTTTATCTTTGTTGTTTTAGTATTTTGTCAAAGTGTTTCCTTCATGTGGTTATGTATAGATAACCAAGGTTAAAATCAACGCAAATACTCCCGATGTTCAAAATTACAAAAATCATGAATAAATATTTTTAAAATGCTGCTTCATAAAATTGATAAAGAAAATCAACAACAAGTAGTGTCTTCATTTCTATCGTCACAGAATGGAGCGTTGAAAGACGTGCAAGAAATACGGATTTTTACGAAATAACATACGACATATAAGTATATTATCAAATCTAGTTCTGCAAACAAGGTATGTACAAGTTTTTACGTTGGGGATTATTCCATTTAGTAGAAAAAATAAGGAAAACATAAAAACAAAAATATGTTTATAATACATTGATTTTTCAAAACAGAAATTTTACTAATAATAATAAAAATTACCTTTTATACATTCTCGTTCACTCACTGCACCAACATTGATGGTACCTTTACTCTCATTACAGGGAAGACAACGAGTTTGTTTTGGATATGGTTGATATGTATAGATGGGACATTTTTCACATTTCTTACTTTTAAAGGAAAAGAATGAACCAATTGAACAATCTATAAAGACGATTAATGAAAATAAAACGTTGACTGACAATTAAAATTCTACAGTTGATTTATTTATTGTACTCAATGTTTCCTGTCTCATTATGTAAGTTAACTATGAACCAAATAAAAAGTTAGAAAATTTCCAAGAATATAAAAACAACAAAAGTGATCAAGCAAAACACTTCACAATCCAGGAAAACAAATACTTACCGAAAGCATTGCTAGGAATGGCCACCTTTGGTATTGTGTCACAGCTTCCTGGAGCAAAAGCAAGATTGTCGAGAGCTAGAACGTTTCTTGTGTAACTACGCACGACAGCTTCAACGATTAACTATGAAGAAAAGTAAGTGGCTTGGACAAATAGCTAAAGTTTAATTTTAAGTTGTATAAGTATGTGTAAGCTGCTAACTTTAGATAGACCCATGGTAAAATTAACTGTGACTTGGCCTTTTTTCCACTTAGTTCCTTGATCACCACTTAATGACCACAGTAAGGGATTGTATCCATTGTGAAAATATTCTTGGTAGATATTTAATGTATTATAATGACTGCGAATATAATACGAAAATGAAAAACACACGAGAGAGTCCTTTCGATAGTTTCCAACCAACCAAGCTTTGCCTGAAATAACTGATCTTAAAAGAAGATATCGTCCTACAACAAATGAAGAAATGTAAGATATATGTAGACTATATATATAAAGAATAAAGATATCGTCCTTCAACAAATGAAGAAATGTAAGATATGTGTAGACTATTTATATAAAAAATAAAGATATCGTCCTTCAACAAATGAAGAAATATAAGATATATGTAGACTATATAAAAAAAGAATGAGTATTTATTGATAACACATTTATCTAAAATTACTTACAAGGTCGCTCATAATAAGATTGATGCTTTTGGCACGCTTTGTGCAGTTAGATACAGCCGTTTTTTTGTGTAGGTATAAAATTTACTTCACCTAGTTTTCTGGCATAGATTTATGAATACAAATATATCGCAGTTTAAAAATTCAATAAAAAAATTCCAAATATAAAAACGAAATTGATTTTAAAACTAATTTTAACAGTAAAGTCTTTAATTATCTAATTTAGACCAAGCAAAATATACGTAACATTAGATTTCATAAATAAGATTTTAATTAAGAATTATAAAATAAGCACATTGAAACGCGTGGGCTGATTGGTCTAGAACTTTGTTAACATTAGCCTGTGCTAAACACATCCGAGCCCAACCAATCAAATCAAATATAACAATAAATCAGCGAAAGAGAATTCGAAAATCAATTATGAATACATTTTAGAGAAAAAATGAAAATGTTTTTTTGTCTCGAATTATTGTTATTTTATATAAGAAATGAAAGATGTTTTTCGTGCTTGAACTTGCTTATGCAAACCTAGGAGACGTTTGTGAGAACTCTCGGGCAGGTGCAACCCTCGAACTTCGGTCTCGGGCTTGCACTAGTTTGCATAAGCCCTCGAAGTTTGCATAAGCCAGTGCAAACACGAAAAACACTTTTATTTCTTTTGTAAAATAACAATAATGCAAAACAAAAATAACGTTTTAATATTCGTCAACGTGTATTCATTATTGATTTGCAAATTCTTTTTGATGGATTGGTTGATTTGATTGGTTGAGCTCAGATCATTATTCCCACGCTAATGCAAACACAGCTCTAAACCAATCAGCGCACGCATTACATTGTGTTTATTTTGTAATTATTGATGACAAGCATTTAAAATCTGAGTTGTCATTTTTGAAGACAAAATTTTATTAAATGATCTCTACCATTTTACTTATTGCAGCTTAAGCTGTCAGCTGGTTAAACTGTTCAAAATCTAATGTCTCTTAAATATAAATCACTTCAATCTTACCAAAATTAGAACCAGTAGCGTCATAAATTAGGTTTCTAAATCTTCTATATTTTACATATGCAGTACCAAGTTCCCAGTTTAAGTCATCGTCTACTTCCACATTGCGCCATGGACAAACAGTTGTTCCCAGTCCTTTTTGAAAATCACAGTTTTCGACTGAATGGGAAAAAAATCGAGATTTGAATAGCCATATTAGTTATTAAAAACAAAGCAGAAGCCTAAAATGTATTTGTATGAAACAAAAACACACCACACAGTACAACAGATTTTTAAGCAACGCTATGCTCCACAGCAGTTTAAATGATAAAAGCATCATAAACTTTTAAAGGTAAAAATGATTTTGCTTTTTAAATTATTTATCAATTCTTTTTTGTTGTTTGACAACATTTGTCGAATGTTTAGCAAAAAAACTTGAAATTGTGCTAAAAGATTTCCAGTCACCGAAGTCGTGGACACACAGACATCTTTAATGTGCATTAAATTTATCATGAATTTTACCAAACAACTTATTAACACTAAAGTTTGCAACAAGAATTAAAATTCTTCTACCTGTTTTGCTTGCAAAGCTTTTGGAATTAGTAGGCAGTGCAAAAATCTACCTAGTGTGCGTGTTATTTAAACGATAATAATGGTAATTCTACTCTACAGGGTGTGTCAAAAAACCCTGATAAGTTTGGAAAACGACACTAAAGTCATTTGGGCATACGATTTGCAAACACGTTTCGTGGAAATAGTCAGCTGGATTTCCAAGGCGTTATCTGAGAGGAAAATTGCCTCAAATAAGAAAAATTTTAAACGTAAAAATTGTGTTACAGAGAAGCTCATTTGAAATAGCTTGCGCATAAAAATCATATAGGTAAAAAGAAATTGGAAGATATAGGGTTACAATATGACGCATGTTTTTAAAGGTAACAAAGTTTTAGGAAATTTTGCTAATGAGTATGCGAATGCATAACTTTTAAGTTGCGAATTGCTTTGAATTTTTCATTTTTAAATGGAATTTTGATATAGTCGTTATTAGTTATGTATAAATTTGAGGGTAAATTAAATCAAATTTGACTAATTCATGAAGGTTTCAAAACATGGCAAATAAAAAAAACGCTAAATAATCTGCAATTTGAATGCCAAGTGTTTGTATAAGGTTATACCTAATTTCCTAAAACTTTGTAACGTGGAACAACAAGTACTATATTTTAACCTTTCTTGTTCCAATTGCTTTTTATTCTTTTGATTTTTGAGCAAGAGTTTTTTCAAAAGTATTTTTCGGTAACACAATTTTCCCACGAAATCGTTTTTATTTGCCAAAAGTTTCTGTCAGATGAACCAGTTATTGGAAGTCGAACTACCTATTTCACTAAAGGCTTTTGAAGATCTTGCGCGCTGATGAATTTAGAGAGGTTTTTCTGCTTGTTCAATTTTTTTTATATATAAACCCTGTATAAACAACATGCAAATTATGAACGTTAAAACCTTTTTTATATGGAATGTAAGCTATTGGCCTGTCTTTGTAACTTTTACGTTATATGGAATTTTGAAAAAAGCAGCATTACGTTTATTTTATCAACTCTCTTGTTTTAACCTCAATACAAATTTTACGATGCAATTTAACAGCGATGTATTTGGTAGTATATTAGAATTATTGTTATTTCAGAAGTTAGAGAAAGTGATGTTATTTTTGTTTTATTTATATAGTGCCGTGCTTTTCCAACTTTTGAATTGCTTTCAGAAGAATATTTGTTCGAACCTCATTCTGGTGAGAGCTACTCACGTGATGAATTTAAATAAAAATAAGTGGTTAAACGAGACATAGCCTGCGTATAAGCTACTGACGCAATTCTTCTCTTTGTAGTAAGGCATTCAGCATTGCTTTTGTTAACAGGTAAATGTTCATGTTCCAATATAGTTAAAGCCTTTCGAAAAAGGTTGAGATCAACAAACGAAAGAGCTGGAAATGAGACTAAGATTCATGTGAAGCTTTTATTTGATTGATTCAAAGGAGGAAAGCACTGATTTTGCTGTCTGTTTCAAGGTTTGCGCTTCTCTTTTGAACTCCTTGCGAAGCCCTTGAACCACAAACTTACTTTTGTAATCAAAACAAATATTTCTTGATATTCAATAATTGAAAAAATCATAAGAAAATATTTTCAAACTACTGATTTATAAAATAGATAAACAAAATCAACAACACGCCTTGTCTTCACTTCTATTGTACGGAATGGAGCATCGAAAGACTTGTCAAAAGTACAAATTTTTACAAATTAACATATGAAATATCAGTACATTATCAAATCTAGCCGTGCAAGCAAGGTATATACAACTTTTTACATTATGCCTTTCAATATAAAAACCAAGGAAAAGTGCAAAAATATTCATAGTATATTAATTTTTCAGCACTGAAGTGACACCTTAAAAATTACCTTTTATACATTCTTGTTCACTCACTGCACCAATATTGATGGTACCTTTACCATCATTACAGGTAAGACAACGAGTTTGACTTGTGTACGGCTGGTAAGTAGAACTGGGACATTTGTTACATTTCGTATTTAGAAACGAGAAAAATGAACCATTGGAACAATCTGAAAAGACAATTTTTGAAAATAAAACGTCGATTGACAATTGAAAGTTTACAGTTGATTTATTTATTGTATTCAATGTTTTTTTTCCATTATGTAAGTTAACTATGAATCAAATGAAAAGTTTAGAAAATTTTCAAGAACATTAAGGCAAAAGATTGATCAAACAAAGCACTTCACATTCCAAGAAAACAAATACTTACCAAAAGCATTGCTAGGAATGGCCACCTTTGGTATTGTGTCACAGCTTCCTGGAGCAAAAGCAAGATTGTCGAGAGATACAGAGCTTGCTAAGTATCCCCACTTAAATGATTGTACGACATCTTCAACGATTAACTATGAAGAAAAAGTAAGGGGCTTGGACAAATTGCCGAAGTTTAATTTTAAGTTGTATAAATATGTGTAATTTGCCTACCCTAGATAGACCCATTGTAAAATTAACTGTGACTTGGCCTTTTTTCCACTTATTTCCTTGATCACCACTTAATGACCACAGTAAGGGATTGTATCCATTGTGAAAATATTCTTGGTAAATATTTAATGCTCCAAAATGTGGGACATACATCCTATACGAAAATGAAAAGCACACGAGAGAGTCGTTTCGATAGTTTCCAACCAACCAAGCTTTGCCAGTTGAAGTTGATTCAAAATAAAGATATCGTCCTGCAACACAAGAGAAAATGTAAAATATAGTTGCTGTGTAGACTAGATATATAAAGAATGCATATTTATTGATAAATCATTTATTTAAGATTGCTTGATCAACCATTACATTAATGCTCGTAAAGAGATCGATTTATGTTGTTCTAAACACCTTGTACAGTAAGATAATTAAGATTTTTGTGTAATTGTAAAATTTATCTAACCAATTTTCTATTTGTAAATCTATTAATAAAAAATTATAGTTGTTCAGGAGGGGCGGAAGAGGGCGAGCAGGGGCGGTTAAATCACACCCATCGGGGAGCCCTGTAATTCTCATGTCGTGGAAAATGTGACAGTTTGTCAAGGGTGGGAAGAAAATTAAGAGTTTCTAATTTCGATAGTTGTTGTTTGTTTGTAGCTTTAACCAGTCAGAGCTTTTGAATAAAAAAAAATTAAGAAAAATTTGTTTCCTCAAAGATACTAGCTTTTGGATTTTGCATATGGCAGTAGATAATTTTATTACGTTGAAGCAAACTTCAGCGTTATGCCGCTAGCTACTTTTAGTGCTCTGGCTATAGATGTTGTATCAATCGTTTTATTTGATACATCATGATAATTAAGTATATATTATCCTACGACACCTAAATTTTCTTCAAAAATGTTTACGATTAGTATGACCAAAGTCCTATTGCTTTGATTAATAAGAAGTGAAGGCCTGTAACGGAAGAGAGAAGTTCTAAGTGTTCTCAAATGAGACTGAAAGAATGGCCAGTTATGTTGATATTGCCGAGAATGTAGAACTTGTTAGTATTCAAGAAGCTACTGTGCTACTGGATCGATATTTACTTCCATAAATATTGATCCTGTATGAGATAACAAAAAACGTTAAAGGCTAAGTTGAAGAAGAGATTTAATGACAAGAACATTGTCGTTATGAGAGGAAATAGCAATTACTGCTTTGACCCACCGATTTTGCAACATTCATGCATGAAAAAACTTTCAGCTTTCGCTGACTCATTTGATGGCACAACTATTAATCTCCTCTCTAAACGTTGCCATGCGTATTAACACTTGCTATAAAGAACTTAAAAACAATAAAGAAAAACAAAACAAATAATAATATTCCTAAAGAAATTAGAAGAAGCCTTATCTGAGCAATGACTGCCTGCAGTTTGCTCTTGTGACGTGTCATCAACTAAATTCAAGTGGAATTTCAGCTCAATTCAAAATCAGAGTAGTCATTTTTGAAAACAAAATCTCACTAAACGATCTTCATCTAATTCATCAATAAAGCCTCTCTACTATATAAAAATGACATCATACCAAAACTGAAGCATTCGTCATTATAACGTGATCTTCTATATAGTGAACTAAGTCTTCTGTCAAAGTCGTCATTGCCCTCCACGTTGCTTTACAAACCTAAACTCCAAGTCATCCACCTACGAATTGGGCTTAGTACCGTCTGCACCTCACAATTCACAAGCGTAATTACATTAAGTAATAACCAATATTTATTATCTTACTCGCTTTACCAAGCTATCCAGTTCTCCATTTACAAAAACTCACTCAGTGTTTCAAGAGATCAAATTAGTTTTTTATCTTGAAACTCGATATTTTTTCTACTTGCACACATTAAAAAGCTCTCCTGTTTCAGAACTTACCAAACGGTCCGTAATTGCGGACAATCCAGCTGTAATCATCATTGTGCCATGGACATAAATTCGTGCCCAGGCTAGATTCAAAGTCACAGACATTCGCTGTAAGTAAATAGGAGAGGAATCAAGCAAAGCAAGTTATACTTAAATACAACATTGAAAAAAGGGTTTTTGTTTCATTCTAATACGTAAGATTGCTTTTCACTGGCTATGTAAGCCAAAATTAGTGTATAGAAATTAGTTTAAAGAAATTTTTATATTTTCTTGCATACATACGTCGCCTGAAATTTATTGGACAAAGGAGCTGGTTTAGAAAGAGAAAAGAAACTTTATTTAAAAAGTACAAAATATAAAAGCTTTGTTTGCAAAAGCTATTCTTACCTTCGATCAAATAAATACATCGACTTTTTTATGTTATCATAAAATACATACAATTTTCGCTGATATTATCAAAAAAAACTTTCAATGTGTATTGTGTAGAAAATTACATTGATCAATAAGACATGTATACTACAAGACCAAGAATATATTAATAGTCGTAATACTAACTAGCTGACAGCGTCATGCAGCATATTCGGCGCTAGTCAAAGTAAAGATAACATGCATCGATTATATGTGGATTACTGGATTTTTAAGAACTCGTGAAAATATATTTTCCGTGCAGACATCCCTTCCGGTAAATAATCTATATTTTATGTGTCAACTCAAAAATTAATTTGATTACACTTATTACAAAACATTGTAAAACTTGTCTAAAGCGCAATTCTTCACTTTAACGCTCTGCTCTACATGATTTTGTGTATAACAATTTACACAAAAATGAACAAATTGTTTACTCAAAGAAATTTGTATATCTTCAATTCAAAAAAGTAAGTTAAGATTTTACCGTAGTTTTAAGTTGACAGAACTCAAAATTTTAGTTAAATGAGATGATTTACGCAATTAATTGCGTAAATTTACACAAAATTTTACGCAGTCCATTTAACATTATGTTTCACGTAAGGTTTAAAATTTAAACTATCAGATAGAAACTAATCTACAATCAAATGGAATTTATGAAAATCTTTTACAAATTCATATATTGACATGAATGCTGCTGTCCAAACTGAATTTTTTCAAGAGGGTGAAAAATTTAGGGATAAATTGTAAATGCTTGGCAAAGACGATCTCGCGAGCGACATTTCAGTCATTGATTTTAAAAGCAAGCCAACTTTGTTTTGAGTTTTATCAGCAGAAATTTACATCCAAAATCGTAAGTAAAGGACAACTGAAGTGTATGCATGAATGTATAATATCAAAATCAATTTATGCGAGTGTGTGATAAGATTTTTGTCAACATGGCGTATGATAAGCAGATTGATGCTTCTAAAATTGTTGTTGCGGAGGACTTTTAGCTATGATTTCTTTAGTGCTTGGCGAATCGTGGCCTTTATATGGCAGCAAAATCCTGCATTCATGCAAATATATTTCAATGGACAAAAAATCTTTAGCGAAGTAGTATAGATACTGCCAGTTTTGGCGTAACCCCGGTCTGGGGGGCTGCGTACATAAATCTGAGCTCCCCAGCCCTAGTTCGTTTACACATTACTTCGTACTGTGTGTATACATGGGTCCCGACAAAAATCGCACCAATTCTGGCGCACCTCACAGTTTGAGAAGGAGTATACACAAATCTAAGCGCCCCAGCCCTAGCTCGCCTATGTACTTCTTGTAATTATGCTAGCATAATGACAGCGAAGGCCAAACTCTGGACAACGGACGTCGGAGTTAAGGCGGTGCCCTCCGCCGGCCGTCAGTCATTTGAAGAAAGACGATTCACAGCGTATATCCAAACTCACAGCGTATATCCAAACAATCGACAGCCATGAGGCAGGGCAAGAACAAGTTCGCGTGGGTGAAGGTCCACACTAGAGAACCGTGTGGAAAGTCATGTACGAGGAAGTATTGTATAGTGCATCTGCAACAAGTCCGGCGTCGCTCGCCGGTGCCGGTCCCATGTCGGGGTTGTGGTATCAGCACGCAGGCAGAGGCGCAACGATGCGCAGATTGTGGCCAGCAAGCCAGAAAAGCTCGCCTTCGTAGAAGAAGGGCGTATGATAGGTTATATTAACTGAATTTTTATTATATGCTAGGCTACATCCATTTAGACAATAGCGTATGATACGTATATTCACTGATATGAATACTGTCGAGAAACTTCTGCAACTATATGACCAAGGTGTAATCAGCGTAGACGCGTCTTAAGGCTCTTCAACCGCCCGCTGACCCGACACCCACGCAAAGAAATGTCACTCCGCTTATCCCCAAACCGCGAAAGCGCAGGCCTCTCCGCAAACTGCGCAAGCGCAAGCCCGCCGAGCTTACTGATGATGAGATGGACTCATACATGCAAGCCCGCCGAGCTTACTGATGATGAGATGGACTCATACACGCAAGCCCGCCGAGCTTACTGATGATGAGATGGACTCATACAATGAGCTTCTGGCTGAATTTAAACCACGACGCCCTACAAGGGCTCCTCCCCCACCACCTACGGAATTTAAGTGGGATGAAACGAAGGCAGCTAGAGACCCGCAACGGCCGGGCAAGTATCCCACTTAAGACGGTCTTGACTATGTGGGGGTGAGCGCACCCACACCGCTCTCCCAGCTGGAACGAGTAGAGCGTCAGAACGACCTTGCTATCAACGTGTACGGTTGAGAAGGCGGCGTCGTTTCTTGCCGTCTGAGCAAAGTAGAGAGAGCTCGAAAGACTGTGAATTTCTTCCTCGTCTCGGATTCGAAAAACCCCGAGAAATACCACTACACTTGGATAAAGGACTTCAACCGCCTTCTCAACCGGGAATCAAAGAATGGCCAACGGCTGCACTTCTGTGAGCGTTGCCTTCACGGCTTCACCAGGCAGGATTTGCTGGAAGAGCATAAGCCTGAATGTCGAGGCATCAGCCAGGCTGCGGTTGCCATCAGGATGCCACCCCCGGAAAAAACAACAAAATCCGCTTTGAGAAATACCACAAGCAACTCAAAGCGCCCTTGATAATCTACGCCGACTTCGAGAGTCCGGTCTGCAAAATCGAGGGCCCCGCGCTTAACCCTGAAAAGAGCAAAACCCAGCAAACCTCCCGACACGAGGCATGCGGCTACTTTTTCATAGTCGTTCGTTCAGACGGGTAAACGCAGCCGCCGCAGCTCTACCGAGGGCCCGACGCAGCCAAGAATTTCCTGGAAGCGCTCCAAGAAGAAGAGCGTAAGATCAAGAAGTTGTTGGCTAACCCCGAGCCTATGCACATGACAGGAAAGGACTGGGGAAGCCACAAGAAAGCCACAAATGGCCACGTCTGCAGCAAGCCCCTCGAAGACGATTCCGTTCGAGACTACTGCCACATTACTGGCAAGTGCCGAGGTGCGGCCCACAATGAGTGTAACCTGAAGTTGCGGCTCAGCCCAAAGACGACAACCATACCGGTTGTCTTCCACAACCTGCGAGCTACGACAGCCATCTCATCATGCAGACTATCGCAGAGACTGAAGGGAAGGTCACCTGCATCCCCAACAACGCTGAGAAATACATCTCCTTCAGTATCGGCCAGCTTCGATTTATCGACAGCGCTCAGTTCATGCTCTCAAGCCTGGATGGCCTGGTGAAAGCCAGTGACCCGCGAGACATGTGCATCACAGCAGACTACGAGCCGAACCTCCAGAGGCGTACCCTCTTGCTCCGGAAGGGGCTCTACCCCTACGAGTACATGGACGGCTGGCCCCGATTCAACGAGGAGGCCCTCCCGCCGAAGGAGGCTTTCTACAGCAAGCTCTCGGGCGAAGGCATTACCGACGGTGAGTACGCCCACGGAAAAAGGGTTCGGGATGCCTTCGGCAGCACAAGCTTCGGCGACTACCACGACCTCTACCTTCGGACCGATGTCCTCCTCCTCGCCGACATCTTCGAGAACTTCCGAAAGCTGTGCCTCGAGCGATACCGGCTAGACCCGGCCCACTATTACACGAGCCCGGGCCTAAGCTGGGACGTTCTCCTCAAGCACACAGGGGTTGAGCTCGAGTTGCTCACCGATATCGACATGCATCTCTTTATCGAGAAGGGCCTGCGGCATCAGCATGGCCAGCAGGCACTTCGCCAAGGCCAACAACCCCAAGGTGCCAGACTACGATCCGGGGAAGCCCCAAAGCTGGATCCAGTACTACGACGCCAACAACCTGTACGGCTGGGCGATGTCGCAGCCGCTGCCGACAGGCGTGTTCAAGTGGGTCGCCCAAAAGGATGTGAAGGAGGCCCTGAACCAGCCTGTAGATGCAGAGGAGGGCTACATTCTCGAAGTCGATCTGGAGTACCCAGAAGATCTGCATGATGAGCACAATTCATATCCGTTAGCGCCAGAACGCTTGAAGGTCGACAACGCGTGGATGTCGGATTACCCTCAAACAGATTTATGGGGGTGGGTCTCACGAGGTCGAAAAGAGGTCGACAAGACCCGATACGTCCTGCACTATCGGAATCTGCAGCTTTATCTGCAGCTTGGGACGCGCTTGAAAAAGATCCGCAGGGCACTCCGCTTCGATCAAAGCCCATGGATGGAGCCCTACATACGGAAAACACCGAACTCCGGAAGAAGGCAAAGAGTGACTTTGAAGTCAACCTCCACAAGCTATTGAACAACAGCGTCTTCGGCAAGACGATGGAGAACCTCCGAAAGCGTGTCGATGTGAAGCTGCTCCGGCCAAGTGAGACCGAGAGACTCCGCAAACTTATCGCCAAGCCGACATTCAATCGACATCTCATCTTTGGCGATGCGGGAGACTTCGCAGCCGTTCACGTGAATAAAAGCAGTCTGCAGCTCAACCGGCCGATCTTCGTGGGCATGAGCGTTCTCGACCTCTCGAAGCATCTGATGTACGACTGGTACTACGACCATCTCAAGGGGCAGTACGGGTCGTCAGCAGAGCTCCTCTACACCGACACCGACAGCCTTGTGCTGGAGATCCAGACTGAGGACGTGTACGCCGACATGAGACGCAACGCCGGTCAGTACGACACCAGCAACTACCCCAAAGACCATCCGCTGTTCAGCACAGCCAACAAGAAAGTGC